ATCTTCTCTGCTCCTGGGTATTAAATAAAGTAACTAAGTACATAGTTATGAAGAGCAAGAGTGCCTCTTCCAAAATTGTGAAATTCATGGCCCCAGGGTCAGGGGTTCTGGCCCCAGGGTGGGGCTATATAGATCATATAGTAAAAGTGCATTATTTCTTTGAAAATCTTCTTCTCTGCTCCTGGGTATTAAATAAAGTAACTAAGTACATAGTTATGATGAGCAAGAGTGCCTCTTCCAAAAATGTGAAATTCATGGCCCCAGGGTCAGGGGTTCTGGTGTAAAGGCAGGGCTCTATTGATTACATAATGAAAATGCATTTATTCTTTGAAAATCTTCTTCTCTGCTCTTGGGTACTAAATAAAGTAACTAAGTACATAGTTATGAAGAGCAAGAGTGCCTCTTCCAAAAATGTGAAATTCATGGCCCCAGGGTCAGGGGTTCTGGTGTAAAGGCAGGGCTCTATTGATTATATAATGAAAATGCATTTATTCTTTGAAAATCTTCTTCTCTGCTCTTGGGTACTAAATAAAGTAACTAAGTACATAGTTATGAAGAGCAAGAGCGCCTCTTCGAAAATTGTGAAATTCATGGCCCCAGGGTCAGGGGTTCTGGTGTAAGGGCAGGGCTCTATTGATTATATAATGAAAATGCATTAATTCTTTGAAAATCTTCTTCTCTGCTCTTGGGTACTAAATAAAGTAACTAAGTACATAGTTATGAAGAGCAAGAGTGCCTCTTCCAAAATTGTGAAATTCATGGCCCCAGGGTCAGGGGTTCTGGTGTAAGGGCGGGGCTCTATTGATTATATAGTGAAAATGCATTAATTCTTTGAAAATCTTCTTCTCTGCTCCCGGGTATTAAATAAAGTAACTAAGTACATAGTTATGATGTGCAAGAGAGCCTCTTCCAAAATTGTGAAATTCATGGCCCCAGGGTCAGGGGTTCTGGTGTTATGGCAGGGTTCTATTGATTATATAACGAAAATGCATTAATTCTTTGAAAATCTTCTTCTCTGCTCCTGGATATTTAATAAAGTAACTAAGTACATAGTTATGATGAGCAAGAGTATCTCTTCGAAATTCTGAATTTCATGGCCCCAGGGTCAGGGGTTCTGGTGTTAGGGCGGGGCTCTATCGACTATATAGTGAAAATGCATTAATTCTTTGAAAATCTTCTCCTCTGCTCCTTGGCATTAAGGTGATAAACTAAGTACATAGTTATGATGAGGAGGTGGGCCTCTTCCAGAATTGTGAAAGCCATGGCCCCAGGGTCAGAGGTTCTGATGTTAGGGCGGGGCTCTATTGATTACATAGTGAAAATGCATTAATTCTTTGAAAATCTTCTTCTCTGCTCCTGGGTATTCTTTAAACAAACTAAGTGCATGGTTATGATGCATAAGGATGCCTTTTCAAAAATTGTGAAATTCATTGCCCCAGGGTCAGGGGTTCTGGTGTTAGGGCGGGGCTCTATTGATTATATAGTGAAAATGCATTGATTCTTTGAAAATCTTCTTCTCTGCTACTGGAGATTATTTAAACAAACTAAGTGCATGATTATGATAGGCAAAGATGCCTCTTCCAAAATTTTTAAATATATGGCCTCAGTTTTTGGGGTTCTTGAGGAAGGGGGGGGGGGGAGGGCTCTATTGATTATATAGTGAAAAAGCATTAATTCTATTAATTAATCATTAATTAATCCTGTCTGCTCCTTAGCGTTGAGCTGATAAATAAATTGCTTAGCTATGATGAAAATGGGAGCTTCGAACAGAATTTTTAAATCTTGTGGTCCTAGGGTCAGGGGTTCTGGCATAACGAGGGGGGGGGGAGGGGGTTGATAATATAGTGGAAAAGTGTTAATTCTTTGAAGTCCATAGTTATGATGATGAGGGTAACTCTTCCAAATTTGTAAATTTCTTGACCCTTGGTCTTGGGTTCTGGTGTTAGGGTAAGGTTCTGTTGAATCTGTAGTGAAAATGCATTGTACCTGTGAAATTCTTCTCTGCTTCTGGGCATATCGGAAGAAAACTGAGTAGAAGTATAAATGATATAAGTAAGCGTATTTCTACCAGATTTTTGAACATCTGGAGCATTTGTCTAAGCATTCTAGTCCTGGACAGGGCTCTATTAATTTGTATTCTACTGAGAGAAGTTATTCCCCTTTTCCATTCACCTTTGATAATTAATCACTGTAAATAATGCATTTGAAAGGTTAATAGAATAGATAATTATGCAAGATTGTTTATCATATAATTCAAAAAGTATTTTCTTAGTTTTAATAATCAGGTAGACCTGTAAGCAATAGAAAAATAAAAATGAGACAAAAATAACTTATCTTATTAAAAGTTCTTCAAAGACCATTAGAGAGGTCAATTCTAGAGGTCTTAATATGGGTTTTAAATAGTACAGAAGCACTAATAGTTTGTTAATAGTCTGCATGTGATAGTGTTAAGTGGGGGACAGATTAGAACTTAATTTATGAGTTGATACTGAATACTAGACTAATTATTTTGTTGATCCTGATCTTCCTACTTCTCTTGCTTTAGGGCAACAAAGCTTCATCTATCAGTGTATTTAACTTCTAAATTGTTGTATTATACTCAGGTGACCGTTAAGGCCCTTGGGCCTCTTGTTTTCTTTTTTATTCATTCATATTTAATCAGCATTAAATCTAAAATATTTGTTGCACTCCTGACCAAGAGCATAAAAGTCTTTAAAGTAGAATTGTGAAGCAAAAATTACATCAGAACTTCTTCTGTTGTTTCAGTAAAGTTGAGGTGGAATTACTTGAATTTTATAACAATTTTTCAGTGTGCTTATTTTTTACATTCATAAAGAAAAAAATCAAAGAAAAAAAACATATGAATCAATAAAATTGAAAAAGAGAAGGATTTTATTAATAAAACTGTCAATAATTTAGTACTAAATTATGCAAATAGATCATTATTAATTAAAGAATATTTCTTAGCATGAATAGAAGTCTCTTCTTTATATAACTTAAATCTTTAAGAAAAAAAGTTGCACTCCTGACCATAGAAATATAGATCTGAAACACAGACAGACCCTGTAATTGATAAATCTACTTAATAAAAATGTTCTTTGTTTCTTTATTTTCCAAAATAAAAATCAGAGAATCATATACTAATAAAAGATTTTTTTCATGCTGGGGAGCAAAATATCAAATGTTACACTCCTGACCGTATAGGGTATGCACAGATACTTGACTCTCGTTAATGCTGCTTGTGATTTTTATAACATTTTTAAGTTTTAAATTGTATATCTATAGAAGCCCATTTAGGACCTATCAAAAATATTTTTGATTTCGATATAACGAATTTTTGAATTTGTTAAAACAAATTTAATTTGTTATATCAATTTTTTGAATTCGTAATAACGATTTAAATCTGTTATAACAGATTTGTTGAATTCGTTATAACGAATTCAAAAATTTGCTATAACAGATTAAATTCGTTTAAACGAATTCTAAAAGTTGTTATCACGAATTAAATTCGTTTAAATAGATTCGACAATTAGGGTCTATAGAAAAATATATATGAATTCGATATAACTAATTGTAAAATTCGTTTAAACGAAATTTAATTCGTTATAACAAATTTTGGAATTCGTCAAAACGAGCTTAATTCGTTATAACAATTTTTTAAATTCGTGATAACGAATTCAACTTATTTGTTATAACAGATTTAATCGTTTTAACAAATTAAAAAAAAATGTTAAAACGAATTAAATTTGTTATAACAAATTCGATAATTCTTTATATCGAATTCAAAAATATTTTTTGATAGGTCTTAAATGGACCTCCGTATAAATCACTTATTGTTTTACACTTTGAAAAATCTTTTTTGAACTTGTCTTTCAGATTTTTTAAAAATCGATGTTTTTTATGGAACCACTGCATTTTTCTGTTGCAATTCTACGGAAGCCCATCAGAAAATATTTTTGAATTCGATATAACGAATTGTCGAATTTGTAATAACAACTTTAATTCGTTATAACAATTTCTTTGAATTCGTTATAACGAATTTTATCTGTTATAACAAATTTGTTGAATTCGTTATGAGTTCAAAAATTTGTTATAACGAATTTAATCCGTTATAACATCATGTTTGGTCATTTTTTTTTGAGGGGGGGGGGGGTTTAATGTGAATTGTGATATCAATGAGATATTTGGCAGGTATTTAGATACTATTTAAAGACATATGCTGAGACATAGAAATTTATTCTCATTGCCTGTAATTTTAGTGCAGTTTGATATTTGAAGAAACTTAATATAGAAACACTGTTTTATATATGCACATAAGCTCTGGTTTGAACCAGTCAGAGAACATATGATATAGTTTGAACCAGTCAGAGAACTAGGAATGGTAGAGTTTGTTTGTCTGTTTGTTATTTAACGTCCCTCTCGAGAATTTTTCACTCAAATGGAGACGCCACCACTTGCCGGTGGAGGGCTGCAAATTTAGACCTGTACTCGGCACTAAAGGCCATTGAGCAGTGGGGGATCTTTTTTGTGCCAGCACCTGCTGCGACACGGGACCTCGGTTTATACGGTCTCATCCGCATTCCGCAGTGGATTCATCTTCGCTAGCCAAGATGCAGTGGATTCGAACCCGCAATATAAGGATCAACTCCTTACTGTGCGACTCTAGAGCAAACGCTCTAACCACTGCGCCACGCCGGGGAATAGTAAAGAAAAATATTTATGAAAAGTTGCCCCCCCCCCCCGAAAAAAAAAATCCGCTCCTTCCAAATTGCATCTGACACCGGCTATTCCTTAATGAGATGATTTTATGAGTCATCCATCCTCACTAAAGAATGACATTTTTAGTCCGCTTCTTGAAATGCAAATTAAAACAAAATCACTATCTCCCTCATCTTATATGACATTATTGCTAGTGTCTGTAATTATTGTGATGCAACAAACGGGTAAGATAAACTCCTAAATCAAAAATGTGACGTAATTTTCATGAACTAAATACATACGTGTTTGACATGTACTCCCTGTGTAGGTACTGGGGCACTGGCATCTCCTTGAATTTGAACAAGTCCCCCCATTTAAGCATGGGGGGTCACAAACGGCTACAAGTTAATAAAATTTTTAATAGAGGATTATTAAGCAAACATTTTTGTAACGCATTGGAAAATACACTAGGTTCTACTACTGAGTATATCATCACTGCTCCTTTAATTTCACAAATGCTCCAATTTTGCTTATGTTTAATGCAATACCAACTAATATATACATGTACATGTACCACTATATGACATCATTGTTTAAACGTTTCAAATTGAAATTACAGTTCTACTGGATAATAATAGTCGACTAATATTTCTACATCTGGTTAGGGAATCTATTCAGTGATACAACTTTCTTCCAAATAAAAACTATTCCACATCAAGTATAATTTACTTACGGATATTGCATTTGGGACCCGTGTATCGGCGTGATGGACAGCGACAAGTATTGGGACTCTCGCAGACACCTCCATTCCGACAAGTTGGATTACATACGGCTGTAATAATTATCATTAATTTATAATACCGATTCATAGATTACTGTCACCGGATAAAAAAATCGTATTTTTTCTATACATATAAAATATAAAAACACTCTACCTCAATCAACTTTCAACGTTTTGAAGTTGAGGTTTCAACCTTGAATTATCAAGGTCATGCTTTCATTGAATCAACGGCGATAAAACAACGTCGAATAATCATTAAAATTCAATTTTAGTATAGTCCTCAGAGTTGGAATTTCAGCATACATGTACTTTCAAGGTCGAGTCAATGTCGCTTGATTTTCTTTTTTGCTTGTTTGCTTTGTTTTTTAAATTAATATCTACATGTATTTACAAATAAGTTGATGATACAAAGATATCAACAGTCTCGTTTAAAGTCAACATTTCGCGAATTCTATGGTCGATACAATGACCTTGTTGGCAAGTACAATCTATCGTTAAGTTGAATGTTGATTGATCCTTACTACAAAGGTACAAGTTTATCAATTTGGACTAATTTGTTTGACATCTCAATCCTATATACTGCACTTCTGAACTATTGTCGACTAATTATCTAAAATACTGAGATAAATAAATTGGTAGAAAGGTGCTGTCCATTTTTAAAATCTATATTTGATCAGTCTGCTTGAGCTGCCTTGACAAGAGAATTTATAATTAAAATCCGATATTTGAGTCAGCCTTGCTTCAACCTTCTTGTAAATTAACTGCAATCATTTTATAAACTTCATTCAACGTTGCATGACCTTCAATTATGAAATGTCTGTGAAAACGACTAAACATTTCTGCTTACAAAGTATTTATCATATATTCTGTTCTAAACAGCGAATAACAATTTATCGGGATAATCATGTAAGATGAACGAGAAGCTTACGGTTTTCACAGCGTGATCCAGTGTAGCCCCCGTAGCATTTACAGATACCAGGTCGTGTGCAGGATCCGTGTTGACACTTAGGACTACATACAGCTAAAACAAAGGTTAATTACTTAGATATTAATAAGTATGTTCTAGTTGCCTGAGATTATCTTTCAAACATAAGTTGATTTTGTTTTTAATTTCCGATTGGATCTTACGTGTTTGGCAGGCATTCCCTGTATAACCCCCTCGACAGCTGCACGTGTCGGGACGAATACACGCACCTCGTCCTCGACAATTTCCGTTACAGAAAGCTAGAAATACACCATTTTAATTATTAATTGATGATTATAAATTCAAATTTTATCCCCCACCCCCCACCCCCAAAATTGATGTGTCTTACCTTTCATGAAGGTAGAATATAAGATTAATTGTTTAATATCCAAATACTATCAGAAAAGGTAAATTTTTTATGCGGGTGATGCGTTAAGCCCCAGTCACACTGTCACGGTAGTAGGCACGAATTGCAACGGTTCACCCCGGTTTTAAAGACCGTATGCAATCGTGATGCTGGTAGGGTTTTTTTTTTTTTTTTGGCGCGAAAAATAATATACACGGTTCTTTCAAGATTACCCAACAGTTTATGAAGGTTTCAACACGGTTTCATTAAGGAACACGGTTGTCTCAACACGTAAATGTACACCGTCACAGATAAACACGGAGACCCGTGTTGAAATCGTATAATGCAACGTTCATACCAAGGACGACCAAGGCATTGATACGGTCAACCTACAATTTTTCGTGGCGTACTTAAGGACATGCGAAGAATGACGAAGACTTTCCTAAGATCACGCAACGCCTATTGCAATGAAATCGGGAAATCACGTGATCGTAAGGAAAGGAACTTGTGAAAGTAATATACTTTCACAAGGGTGGTTGGGGACGCCTCCCCCCCCCCCCTCAAGGGCTCTTTTTGTTTGTTTGTTTGTTTGTTTTTTTAAATTTCTATAACATATTTACAAAGTATAAAAATTAATATATTTAAAATAAAACATAAATCTAACCTTTTTTTCAAAACAATCACTCTTTCAGTATCAGTGAGAGATTTTTCATAAGAGGTTATTAGATTTAGATTATATGTTGGATTTTTCAATTGTATACTTTGTGAATGTGTCATAGAAAAACATATGTTCATATTAAAAGAATTCAAAGATCCCTGGGGCTACAGAGTGCGTAAGAAGGGGGGGGGGGGGTCCTGTTCACAAGGACCAATAAAATTTAACATACTTCGAAAATTAAAAAAAAACAAAAAAACTTTATCCTCTCTTATTTCATGGGTGTATGCGATTGTTTGTTCTCGAGTAATCGATTAATAAAATATACAACAAATTGAACAGGGAGTGCAATATACATTATTCATACCCAAGGCAAACGTATGCTGCATATGACGCTTTGAGTTTTAAAAATAATATAAGAAGCGCTACATGCTTGCGGTTTAATGACGTCACAGCAAATGTTGAAGGAAAACAATGAATTAAAATGGGACGATATATGCCGAACACACACACACATACAAATGACATCAAAATTGCTTCAATTCTACTCTGTCCTATATTGAAAGCAGAATGTACTTTGTCTAACTAATTAATGTATATAAGTAAGACAGGTAATTTGTACACAAGCGTGGTATATTTTTATTTTATACAGAGGTACAATCAGTGGTTCATGTAATTATATTATACATAATATTTATGTAATATACAGGTAATTGATTTGCAACTACCTCACGAATTCTAAAATAATTGCATAAATAAATTCCCTGGTTAGAAGTTTAGTAAATTTACACAGTATGTCTATTGAAGATTCAGATATTTATTAACTCTTTTGATTGACAAATGGATGTGTTCACAAACTATATATAGAATTTCATTCAAATTAAAATACTAGCATTCACTTATTTATAAAAAATAGTCACATAAAAACAAGTTCTTTTGCAATAAATTCAAATCATATTTCGCTGCCAAAGCACATCTCCTGCTTCCAAGTTGTAGTAAGCCTTGGGGGGTTCTCTTTGCGCTTTAGCAGCACGCGTAAGCCGGTTACCACCAACTATATCATTTGCCTCTATCAGGACTTGGCTATCTCTCCAGGATCAAGGGATAATGTTGTGGTTTTAATCTTCCTGATCAATGACAACATTTTGTGCTCTGGGATACCTAAGTAGGCAGATACAGGCCAGCGCAGTTGAAGCGATTGTGTTAGGTTGCTGTCGCATCGTTGTTAGTAGACACTGGAACATGTTTGCCAGAATGCCAAAAGCGTTTTCAACTACTGTATTCGACGATCCATTGACAAGCGGTAGTTGTACATTCTCTCTTCATCCGTCAGATGATGCTTCGAAAATGGTTTCATGAGCCAAGTCTAAGGTAAAGGCATCAGGCATCTGCAATTGTAAAGTAAGATATGTTCTTATCATCAGCTGGGAGAGGATCTGGTGCTGGGAATCCTATAGTATTGTTTTCAATTGCCTCTTTGAAATCAGAATTGTTAAAAACCTGAGCATCACCCGATAAACCATTAGCTCATACGTCCACCCAAACAAACTTATAGTTCGCATCCACAAGTGCTAGTAAGATTACTGAATAGCAGCCTTTATATATGTAGTAAAGAGAACCACCTTTTTTGGACACTTAATAACTATGCGTTTACTATCAAGTGCACCAATACAAATCCATCTGCGACGGTCTTCCATTCATCGGGGGTTATTGGGCAAGGAATTACTTCTTCGGCGTATACCTCGATGATGGCTTCAAAAACCTAACGTATAAACAGGGAGATTGTGTGTGAGAAACTCTGAAAGCATACATAACTGAGTGGTAACTATGTCCTGAGGCAAGGCATCGCAAGGTTATAGCCAGCTTTAACCCAGGAGGAATAGCCTTCCTATACCAAGTATCATTCTTTCTAATTCGATCCTCTATTCTGAAAAGGGTCTCCTGGAACATGGCAGGCTCCATTCTTAAAAAATTCTTATAGGCTCTAATATCTTCTATGTTGAGTTCACCCGTATGTCTTGTGTAGTGCCCTACGAGATCTCGCCCCTGCAAAGATGGTCTGACCCAAACTTTTCTCCTTTCCTCCGGTTTAGAAAAACATGTGCCACGACGATGTTGCTCTGTGCTTGCTGCCTGTTCAACTGCAGTTGTAGATTCAGAAATCGAAATCTGTACGGATGGTTAAGTATCAAATCCATGAAGAACTGCTCTGAGACAGGATTTTGTAATTCTGCAAGATTTGGTGAAACACGTGAATTATTCAGTTCCAAAAAACCGTAAAATATCGTACCCCACCCGTGTGTTACCGTAAAAACATAGTAGCTATCCGTCAAAAAAAACCGTTGTGCAGCCTGTGCAAATATTGGTACATCGTCATTATTCGTATTACTTCCTTGACGTTATCCTTCTTCAACCAAGTCACAACGTACTTGGGTTACAGTTTGTAACGGATCGTCATTTACAGCCGTACATTTACCCTACTACAGCCGTCGTTCTCCTCAAGCAAGCATAGAGCTATTTGTTACGAATGTCCCCCAAACTCCACGAAAGTCTATACACGGTGTTACACGGTGATATTAGGATTTAGGATTACAGTACGAGCCGATTACGATGTGCCAGAAACAAAGTAGCATCCCGTTTTCTACGACTGTTTTGAACATTTTAAAACTGTCGTAGCGATTTACGGATCATTCAGGATTGTTTCGATTTATTAGGGTTTATTACAGTAAAAACAACGGACTGACTGCGGACATCCAAGAATATTCACGGATCTCCAAACGTTGCTTACCGTGATCTAAAATCGTGACAGTGTGACTGGTTTAGCAATTTTGTCTAGTGTAAAATAAAAAAATCTACGCATACATGTATTGTCATAAACAAGCATTTAGCCCTATAAATTAGCATTTAGTACTTAATATTTTAATGAGATAAAAACTTATAAAATTGAAAGAATTACTGGTTAAAAAAAAACAAAAACAAAAACAAACAAAACAAAACAAAACCAAAACCATAAAAAAAAACTTTCTTTATACGTTTTACTTATATGTCGCCTAGACTTCAAAATATCTTCTAATTACAGAGCTCAGAAGTTTTACTGAAAAAGTAGTGTCTTTTTCAAAGTTGACATTTTTCTGATTTTATATTATCAAGAAGTTTTTGTAGCTAGGCTGGTATGTATCGGGGGTTTGGATGCGAACAAGAGATCTATTGTTTTGGACAAGTGACAAGACAATCTCTTGTCAAATTGTTGTATCTGAACATCGCGTAAGTAGTGAATTACTACTTAATCTTAATAAGAACCACTGAAGTATTCAAAGTGGTCTGTTGTCTACGTGAAGTCTAATTGTAAATTCATGTACTTCACATTGTTTTATCGTGAAGTCACGTGATTGTATTGGCGCACGCCATGGAAGTTATAGGACACCGGGAAAACAATATTTGGCGACAAATTCAATTCCATCATGTTTTACTTTTTAAGTTTTTTAAGATTCTATCCTGAATATGTACATTTGTAATCACTTTATTTTTGAATCAATGAATTTTATTTATGATAATAAGACTGCCTCGCTTTTTTGCTTACTGTATCTATATGTATTCTTTTAGCGTGAACCTATATGAAAGTTCACTGCTTGACCTAAGAAAACTAGAAGCAACAATTAAGTTAACAGACTTCGTTCTTTTACAGTTCTGTAGAAATTACTACACACCAATTACTTCTGTTTGTAAGCCTTACATTATCAATATTCCATAACATTGTAGAACCTTAGAAAAATTATCTCTCAAGAGACAACATTGAAGCTTATTTACAAAATATCCTATATATTCAAAGGTTTTTGAATAAAAAAAAAGGATAGCCATAAGAATATTGCAAAATATGAGAATTATATATTTCTCTATTTTCATTTTTTTTTTATTTATTTCTATTTTTATTTATTTCTAGCACGATACAAAACATTGCGCAATATGCTAAAATTAGCAATATTGACCTCATTTATCAAATATCTTCGTTTTTCCTCCATCTACTATGAGTTATATTTCAACATGACAAAAATGAGCAACATATATCATATTGATAACATTGATATGGTGAATTGTGACTCAGCACGTCAAAATGAGGTGGACACAAATAAATAAAAGTCAGTCGTTATAGAAAAAAAGATATTTAATTTTTTAAAATCTTTTTTTCGGATTGAATCTCTGCAGAAGTGTTATTCATGTATTCAACATTGCCTTGTAATACAACATTTTTGAATGTTTTTGAGTGTAGTGTATTTTTTACAAGTTTGATCAAATTTCCACTTATAATTTTTTCATTCAATAAGACACTATGAACAGCCTTTCTGTTGTGTGTGTCTGTTCTCTAATTCACTTTGGTAATTCACTAAAATATGGTGACCCTTAAATAATTAACATATCTTTGTTATATGCAATATATGGAATTCTCATTAAAAGTATTACTGATTCTTACGGTAAAATGGTTAAGATATGAATGAATGACATACGATGTACTTCTTCAGTATTAGAAATAAAAAATGTATACATATAGCAAATAATTATCCGGATTAAACGTTTACCATAAAGTAAAATTCCATGGATTTATTTTCTATGAAAGAGGGAATGTTTATATTGTGTTTATTTATAAGGAAGAAGGTTTACTAATGTTTACTATGTAGTAAAAAAATTTCTGAGGGACCCGTATGCTGTTTTTTTTTTTTTTTTTTTTTTTAATATTTCATTTTTAGATTTAAGGGTTTCTGATAACACTCCAACCTTCCTTTTTTTAAATTGTCTCGAAAAATTAGTTCCGAAAATATCATGTTGAATAATTGTTATTTTTAGCTAATTAATTCTAATTAAGGAATTTGGTCTTCAGAGTATACTGTAGAAGTACTTTTTTCCGCGTGGTATTAATTTACGCTATATACGCAGTCACTTAAAGAAGATTTAAGGCATATACCCGGTAGTGGCAATCTAAGAAATCCGCGTACTTTTCTACCAGCGGATTGAACAGATTTAAATTGTGATTACGAGGAATTTTGGCCCCGTGGAAAATAGTGCATGTACAGTATTTTCCTTGGCAAAAAAAAGATATTTATAGCTGCAATCTGAATAGAGAAAAAGAATCTCTGCTAAAAGTAACAACTTAAGCTGAACATCCAAATAAAATGAGGTTTCCTTTCTATAATTACTATACTTACGTTGACAGTTACTCCCTCCGTATCCAGGGCAACAAGTCTCTGTGTAGGTTTCCCTGTATCGCCACACGTGGGCATGGTAGGTACTGCATGAAACATGTCTTTATGAACAAAGGGTTTAAATTTTTTTTAAAGGGGATAAAATGCTAACTCTGTGTTATGCAGAATTTTCTTCTGTTTTCAAACCTGGTCTAGTCGCAATCGCAAGAAGAAAATTTACTTGTATTTTTGAATAATTCTATTTACCTTTGCAAATGTTATGCATTATGTAACACTACTTAAGCCTGTGTAAAAACAGGTTCGCCATATGAACAAATTCATTGTTAAGTCGGATGACAAACGTGACCAAACAGTGGAAATTGACAGGCATCAGTGGAGAGTGATAGGAATCAGTGGAGTGTGACAGGCATCAGTGGAGAGTGACAGGAGGCAGTGGAGAGTGACAGGCATCAGTGGAGAGTGGCAGGAGTCAGTGGAGAGGAATCAGTGGAGTGTGACAGGCATCAGTGGAGAGTGACAGGAGGCAGTGGAGAGTGACAGGCATCAGTGGAGAGTGGCAGGAGGCAGTGGAGAGTAACAGAAGTCAGTGGAGTGTGACAGGAGGCAGTGGAGAGTGACAGGCAACAGTGGAGAGTGACAGAAATCAGTGAAGTGTGACAGGAATCAGTGGAAATTGATAGAAGTCAGTAACATATCCCATTAATGTTTAACAATATCTTTCTTCTTAAATAACTTAATAACATTACTCTGAAATTTTTTTGCAATACCTGAGATACAGTATTCCAATTTTTTTAATAATGTTGGAGAAGATGAGCTCTAACTCGGTTTTTTCGGTAATCTTTTAAAATCCTGTAATGATTTAGTATTTTTTTCCCTTAAGAGAATTTATTTTGGAACAATTATCATGTGCAGACCTTTTTTGTAAGTGTTCATACTCTGTACTTATAGAAGTATACAATAATATGTATCATGAGGGGCCTTTTTAATTAAATAATGAGTGCTTTGGAGGGTTTTGGAACGACATTCTAGTCCGAATCTTCAACGTTAGATTAAGACTTCTGTATAACTAAATAAATATATAACAAAACAGTTTTTTTTTAAAATAGGAGGTTTGTTCTGTATCTTGTTCAGAAAAGAAATAATTGATGTTGTACTTTCGAGTGTGTTATGTTCTTTATAACATACCACGTATACTTGTTTCAAAGTTATTTTTTCAGACATAACTTGATCCACCAAAGAAAAACAAGGATCCCTTCAGTTGACCTTTTCGCATTTTACACTTACCTGTAAGTAGTATTTTACTGGGAATATGTTCAAATATTGATTTAAAGCTATACGAGGTATATATATGTCGTATAAGACATCAATCTTATCTCACTTACCACCATGCCAAAAACCAACGTGTGCACTCCTTAACCTGATATGACGTAACTCTCTTAGTGGTGGTTTTACAAGGGCTGGTCCAAGTAATACTAAAAAATAGAGAGCGTGCAGTTAGAGTTATACTTTCAATAGAAGAGAGTTGGATCTAATATACAATGTGTATTGGGTTGATTTGCTGGGCTTTTCCAATGCTAACAACATTCGAGTTATCATATCCAACTTATCAAAGTGTGTATTGTGGAGTGTATATTTGATTATTGTGTATCTAACACAATGAAAAAATGAAAAGCGTAACAATAAAACACAAGTAATGTCATTAAAGATCAGAAATGGGTTTTTTTTTTAAGAAACGCCCAAGCTTCGGAAAATAATTCTTCCATTTCATGTAGAAGCAAGCATGCAAATGTCATATATCTTCTATTATTGAACTATTTACGAAAAACATGGAACAAATTCAGACCCCTTCTCTCTAATATATTGTCCCAATAACTGTAAATTAACAGTATGTTTCTTCCTTTGTTATAATATATATTGGCAAAATAGTACTTTGTTAATTTGCTAAATTTCGTGAAAAGTCTACAAAAAGTTAATGAAATGGACACCCTGGAGAAGGAAACACAAGAGAAAAGGAAATATAAGAGACCAGTTGGCACATGCATGAAAGGAAACCATCAAATCAGAAATAAAGCAGACGGAATAGACAGGAACATCATCAGCAGAAAGATGCAGAAATCAATGTAGAGTGCCAGGAAACACTGGAGAGTGCCAGGAGTCAGTGGAGAGTGACAACAGTGACAGGAGTCGGTGGAGAGTGACGTCAATGGAGAATGACAGGAGTATGTGGAGAATGACAGGAGTCAGTGGAGAGTGACAGGAATCAGTTGAGAGTGACAGGAGTCAATGAAGAGTGACAGGAATCAGTGGAAAGTGACAGGAGTCAGTGGAGAATGACAAGAGTATGTGGAGAATGACAGGAGTCAGTGGAGAGTGACAGGAATCAGTGGAGAGTGACAGGAGTCAGTGGAGAGTGACAGGAGTCAGTGGAGAGTGACATGAGTTAGTGAAGAGTGACAGGAAATAGTGGAAAGTGACAGAGTAAGTGGAGAGTGACAGGAATCAGTAGAAAGTGACAGGAGCCAGTGGAGAGTGACAGAAGTCCATTTTGTACAGAACATGCATAGGTGTTAGTATAAAAGAGAAAAAAGGTATATGACTGATAGTTAAATAAAATACTAGTAGCTATTTTCTTCTGTCGCAAAAGCCCAGTTATGTCAAATACAAATAATGAAATTCACTTTACGAGTCTGCTGTATTGTTCACCGACAGACAGTCGAACGGATCTGAGGTGGATATTACTTCCAGTTTACCCACAGCTAAAATCTCCTTTAAGGAATGCTACTCTTTAAAAAGGTTATATGAAATGGTGACTATTATTAATAATATTACCCTAACAACCATTTCAGATCTTCAATTCATGATATATGGTGAATATTGTAAGTAATATTTCCACAAATCCCCTAAGGTTTTTCAAAATACTAGTATTATATCATGGTGACTATTTGTAAGTTACAAACCTACTTTATCACTATAATCCAGAATTCATATTCACTGTAATGAGTTTTAAAGTGTGAACAAAAATCAAACGTAAAAGTTATTACTAAATCCGAGAAAATAATCTACTAGTATCCATTATTATGGTAAAGTTCTCTATATTTTCTGTTCATAAGTTTCTTCAAACGTAAGAACGCCAAAAACATCAACTTTGTTTATCACCGTGAAAATTACTCACATATTTATAGTGAATATTGTATTGTGAAGCGGCTATACAGACTCGATCGCCGTAACTTGCCTGTAATAGAGAGAGACTCTACCGCACCACTTGAAAAGCTAGCTCTCCAGCGAGGCAGTATAAGTTCCCTATATATTGTCCGCTACACTTCACCCCGCACATGGAAGCTTCATTCCCGAAGCTTAGTATGGTACCTCTCTGAGTGTCTTAGGCCTCTTCAGTAACGGCAACTAATGCCGTCCACAGAAGTCCTTACATGGACACAATGTCCTAGCCCTAAAGCTTACTGAAGCAGGTCTTAAACCTCTACAGTTACGACAACGCCCTGTCGTTCACGGATACGAAGTCCATTAATGGACATAAAGTCCTGGCTCTACGGCTTCCTGAAGCAGGACACAGAACACCAGCGTCACTGCACTGCCACCAATGTTTTAACGTGAAGCGGTCGGCTATACAGGCTTGCCGTGGCCTAAGGTCTGATGACACATTCCTAAAACATCTGGGGGGGGGGGGTTATCTCTTCGTAATATACAACAAATTAATCAAAATTATCATTATTTTGCGATTTCTATACTTTTTTCAAAATGTATTAAAACAATTGTAATATTAGCAATACTAATGTATCCTAAAGTTATGTGATAAAACCCAACGACGGGCTGATGAGAATTTTTCAAACAACTGACGTGAAGGTGAGCAACCCATAGGTGAACGTGTGTCATAGTAATATTTACCTTCCCATATATTAAAAGGCAATTAAATGATATTCGTCAGGTGAAAAGGAAGTGATTCAAAGGCATCCTTGATGTCGGCTTCGATTGCCATAAGAGAATTAAAACCATGTCTCTATATTTCCATAAGAAAGGGAACAAAATTCTCCGAGAATTGAACCATTAATGGATTCCCCTTTAATTTAGGATAAGACAAATCATGATACTCCCCTTTCTCCTTTTTAGAAACCAAACCTAAGGGCAAACAGACAAATTTCGGAAACGGGGGTAGATTATAAGGACTTTTATATCTTTTAAATTTTATCTCCCTGTTAATTTTATCACAGAAAATTTCACAGTAGTCAATAGCACTTTTCTGACTTCTACATTTTAAACAGACTGTGCAGAAGGTGCGGCGCCAATACAAAAGCCTTTGGTAAAACTAGAAACAAAGATCCTTATTGATCTGATTGTAGCCTTGAAAGTGAAATGCTAAACTATCACATTTCAAGTTCACTGGTATTATGAGGCTTTGGAGAATTTTGCGGGGGTTTTTTTGGCTATGTTTTTTGTTTTTGTTTTGCACAACTGCAAGCATCGGTTGCATTCATTTTGCCACAGTGCACATTTATTTGAGTTTGAACTCTTTGAAACTACACTACCCCGTACTACAAGATTTCCTGCAGAACCCTTTGGGGTATTTTGGTCACTGCTGGTTCCTACTCGGAAAGGGGGTTTAGACGCGCTTTGGATTCGATAAGAGATTGTAAATTCCAGATTTGTTCTTGCTTGTTGCTACCCGCCAAAACCCATCATGCTTCCCATGTTGCGTATACTTGTGAGCAACCACTAAACCAAGCTAACACACAACAAGTGTTGTATAAATAGCAATGTGAGCAACCAATGAGAAAAAAACACACAACTGCACATGGCCGTAGGAACCGGGAGAAGAAGGGGGCGTGCCCCCTCCAGTAATTTTGCCGATATAAAGTATACTATAGAAAACAAAGCTACTTTTTAGATGTACCCCCTCAATAATTACGTCTGATGACCTTTTTTCATTTCAAGGAATTTTTGCTTTTGATAGTGTCCACCCAAACTGAAAATTTTTGGTGAGCAACCAATGAAAAAAACACACGTGAGTGTGGTCATGCTGCTATTGCGGTTACATGTATGATGTTTACACACTACCGTTGTTGTGAAATATAACCAAGCATCACTCAGCTCTGTTGGACAACTCTTATGAATAAGATAACCATAAACGACATCATTTATGTCACCTTATAATTCAATGCATAATATTGCCAGGGAATCTGAATCCCGCATCCTGCATCAATACCTTTACCCCAATCGGCAATCCTCGGCTGACTCCGCTACGCTCCATACAAACCTCGGATGTGATTGGTGGAGGAATATGCATCAAATCGATGCATTTCTCAACCGGAACTGCCTTTTAACTCACTTTATATTTCGCACTGCATAAAGTTCACCAAAAGAGTTTATAAACTTGTCTAATTCTTTCTTGTATATCGGTTTTGATTACAACATTCTTTTAGTGTTCTTTGAAAGCAGAAACATTTCGTTGGGCGTGCTACAAAATAACTCTTATTTTAAAGGAATAATATTTCGAGGAATTCAAATTGGATCACATGATTGTACTAGCAAAATGGTAAAACACCGTTCATGTCCGAGGTTAGTGTGCTAGGCACGAGCCACCCGAGGAGCTCCGAGTGCCTTTACGGGCAGTACATGTATCTAAACACATCCACATCCATGACACATAGCAGTAGATTTTCTGCTGAATTTTGCATATAAAGCATTCCTAATGAATATAAATTCATCCCATCACTGAGAATCAATATTTTATATATGATGTTTTGCCCCCCCCCCCAAAAAAAAATTAAAAAATTAAAAAAAATAACACACATATTGTTTGGATTGCCTTGACATTATGTTGATTGATTTTGTGAACAATGTTGTTGAAGAATTCCCGACATTGTTCAGAAAACCTTCGCAACAATTGACCAAGAATGACACTTTTAAGTTGTTGATGACTAAACGATAAATGAAATACATCATGCGCCAATTTTGCTGGGTCCGAATCAACCCGTATGTCGTTGCCTCTAGTCCGACCTGCAAAAGAGCATCTTAGGTTAAAACGTCTTTAAAATATCAATATAACCAGGTTTTTGCAGACATCTTTGCATATTTGACCCGGTCGGACAGATCCACCCCAATTCCTTTAAAACGCCCAGCATATCTAGGGATAGGTTTTCTCACAGTGGGACATGATAAATTCGTCAACGCGACGGATGAAGGAATGACCGAAAACTCATGCCCGCCGTGTAAGAGAGATTGGAAAATAAAAGTTCAGAATAAATTCAAAATCGTCCATGCACTCATGGCAGCGAGCAGCCAAATCAAGGAATGCGGCGAACAGTGCAGACCCTGGAAACACGACTGGCAAATCAATACCAAGGAATGCCAATGCAGAGTAATGCGGCTGAGTATGGAACGCAAAATTAACATATATTCAAATATTTGAACCTACCTTCAAATAATTGTACCTATCTTCAAATAATTGAACCTATCTTCAAATGAATTGAAGATAGGTACAATTGAATTAAAGATAGGTACAATTGAATTAAAGATAGGTACAATTGAATTAAAGATAGGTCTAAATGAATTAAAGATAGGTGTAAATAATTATACCTATCTCTAAATAATTAAACCTAGGTTCAAATAAATTACACCTATCTTTAATGGAATTACACCTATCTTTAATTCCATTAAAGATAGGTTCAATTGAATTATACCTATCTTTAATTCATTTGAAGATAGGTACAATTGATTTAAAGATAGGTACAATTGTTTTGAAGATAGGTACAATTGAAACATATCCACAAAGGATTTGAAGATAGGTACAATTCAATTATACCTAGGTTGAATTCATTTTGTGTTATAGAAAATAATGAAAGCTCCCTCTATCAGCGACTTGAACATGGAGGGAACCGAACAAAGCATTTTTATGGGGAGTAGTTGTTATTGTAGTGTCTTTATAATTAAAGATAGGTTCAATTCAATTGCACCTATCTTTAAATCAATTATACCTATCTTTAATTCATGGCATTTGTACCTATCTTCAAATCAATTGTACCTATCTTCAAATCATTTGTACCTATCTTCAAATGAATTAAAGATAGGTATAATTGAATTAAAACTATCTTTAATTCATTTACAGATAGGTACAATTGATTTGAAGATAGGTATACTTAATTGAAGATAGGTTCAAATATTTGAATATATGTTAATTTGGCGTTCCATAGCTGAGAGCTAAAATTACTCGCACTGAGTCAAGTTAAATTCAGATGATTGAGTATGTTTAAATTCTATATGAACAATATAAGATATAGACACATTAAAAAAAAAATACTTACATCAAAACTCTTGTTGACATTAATTATTTAATTCCGTCAATAAAATCAGTTTTCTAAACTTAAAATCACACACACACACACACACACACACACACACACACACACTAATCAATCTTCTCTCTCTCGTTGCTTATAAAATATATATTTAATGTATTGAAAATACATTGAACTAAAAAAAAAACACTTAATTAAATTCAAATTCAAAAATAAAATATTACTTACTTCACATAATTTATCAGACACCAAGAAAATACAAGTAGTAAAATGCGCTGCATGGCGAAGACACACTTATTTCGGTTCGTAGAGCAGCTCTTATAAGCAGCCTCCTGAATTTTCTTTATATCTATAGTACAAAGAGGAAGTCAAAACTCTGTCGAACTGTTCTCAATCGTTTACACGTGACATCTTTGAATTTGCCTGTGTTAACGTTTTTCAGACGTACACACCCAAGTACAGTTGCATTGCTACCATTAAAGGCAAAGAAGCCACTTCCTCCCTCATTTAACCGACAGGAGTCTAAAGAGATGGTAAAAGTCGTAGATGCCAAATGATTAATAAATTATATGTTGGGCAAATAATTATGGAGGGTAATCGTGTTAAAAAAGATCAAAAATTACATTTGTAGAAAACAAGATAAACAATTTTTGATCCAACAAATTGTGCATTTACACGTCTAAATTTTTGAACACGATTACCCTCCATAGATATATTTACCTATCATGGATATATTTGTCTTCAATTAAAGAAAACTTCAATGATTTAGCCGATCCATCTTTCCTCGAATAATGTTAAGTTTTTTGTGTATATTTTTGTGTCTATTGAGACTCCTCGTTCAGATGGAAGGCATCTTAAAAGGAACAAGATGTGTTTGTGAAACACTGATGCCCTCGTATGGCATCTTATAGCAAAGGTTAAACTTTCTCAAATGCAAATCAAATACGTGTATGTTGGTACCCAAAAAAAGGTATTGTCTCGAGGAATATACATGTACCTGTGAAATGTGAAAGCCCTAGCAGCAACCATTGAATAGATATGGAAAAGGTTAAAGTTTTTCAAAAGTAAGTCAAACAACAAGGTCAAGGTCATATGGTCAAAATTAATGGTGCCAAAGGAAAGGCCCTGTCACAAGAAATAAACATGTGAAATATGAAAGCCTTGGCACCAATCGTTGAAAAGTTATGTCCAACGTTAAAGTTTTTCAAAAGTAGGTCAAAGTCCAAGGTCAAGGTACAAATGTTAGTATCAGTATCAGTAATAGTATCCAAAGGAAGGTCTTGTCACATGGATTACATATGTGTAGTATGAACGCCCTAGCAGTTATGGCCATGGTTTTTCAAAAGAAGGTCAAACTCCTAGGTCAAGGTCAAAGGGTCAAAGTTGTTGGTATCCAAAAAAAGGTCTTGTCACAAGGATTGCACATTTGAAGTATGAAAGCCCTAGCTTCAATTATTCAAAAGTTATGGCTAAGGTTAAAGTTAAAGTTACATGATGAATCAAAATCATGTGTTTCTTTTAAGATATCTGTATCATAAAGTGAAAGATTTATGAAAGATATGAGTATTGCGAAGATATGACAACTATAACTGCTCTGTAAAGCAAGAAAAGGCTGCACAATATAAGTGCCAGAAAAACAAAGGTTGTATCTACCGTTTCGTTGTTATCGTAAGGTCACGCCACTTTTATTTTTAACGTAAACTTGTAAACAACATTCAATTGGAGCATGCAAAGGTGAGAAATATGTTCTAATAATTTATTTTATTTTTTGAAGATTGTATCAAAATTCTTGGTCTACCGACATTCATTTTTTGGTACTTGAGACCATGGTAACTTCTTCAATTTTTCCGCGCACGCGTAGTTTGACCTACTTTTCTAAAAAAAAAAATTAACTTTGATAATAACCTTTGAATGAGAGACGACAGGGCTTTCATATTTCACATGTATATGACAAGATTTTTCAGAATATTTTATGATTTGTGATCTCATGACCTTGAAGTTTATCGTACATGTCCATGTACTTTTCAAAAACTGTAATAATAACTTTTAAATGAGATAGGGCTGTCATATTTCACATATTCATTACATGTACCTGTGCCAGGACCTTTCCGAATATACTATTGACCTTATGACCTTGAAGTTTGACTCAGATATATAATTTTGATCGTAACATTTGCACCAGAAGAGACGAGGCTTTCATATTTTTACATGTGCATAACCTATGACAAAACCTTTCCAAATGTAGTATGATATATTTTACGTCATGATCTAGACGTCGAGGTTTGACTTTTAAAACTTTAATCTTGGCCATAACATTTGCACCAGAACATATTACTTCAAAAATGTAAAACATTTAGCATGATGGGCAAACAAGACAATTACAACATGCCATTGATGACTGCATCCCAACTAATAAGACTCCGAAAGCGGAGAACCACAATTCTTTGAGTTTACTTGTTGTATGGTATTAAAAAAATCGTAGCAGTAGAAACATCGTTGGTGTTATAATGCAACTTGAGCTTAATTAATTTTGATATCTTTTTGTTTACGAGCTGAATCCCGGTAGTAATAAGTAAGTACATTATTTTTTTTTACAGTGACATGTATGTTGTTAAGGAGGTTCGTTCCTCAGCTTTTGAGCATTTTTTTTTAGACCTCTATTTCAAAAATTCTGCATAATATTTTAGTTCTTACAATAAATTTGGATTCTACAATAAGCCAAATAAACTATATTCAATTAAAATCCCACCATTGAATACCATACCAAAAGCATCAAGTGAGAAACAGTATTTTGTGGCGGAAGCCAGGTTTTTTTTTGTTTTTTTTTTTTTTTTTTTTTTTTTTTTTTTTTTTTTAAAAAGAAAATGATCGATTTTCTCATTCAAAGTATTTACAGTACTGTTAACTTTGGATTCCTATTTTTCCATGCAGGTTGCACACAGAGTTATTTTGCGCAGTGAAATGTTTTATGCTGGTCCTAAAAATAACCCCAATTTAAGCTAAAAATTGACACTATTTTAGTAATATCTAAAAATTACATCTCAGGCCCCTGTTTTTTTTCTTTTCTGAATATATAACATAATTTTAACCATTCTGCTGAAATGCAGTAAAATCTTAATACTTTAAAAAGGATTTTATTGCTTGTTAAATTTTTAATGCCAGAAAAATTACATTTTTTGAGTGCAGAAAGGTCAAATAATTGACTATGCGTAGTAATTTGAAACTCTTCGTTGTCACAAATTTTAATGAGTCTTTTCAAGATAAAATAAGACTGTATTAAGTCCCATGATTTATTTGGATAAAAAATATTGGAGGGAAACTTCGAAGAAACGATTTACTGTTAGACGTACATGTAGTTACAGTGCAAAAAATCATATTAAATGCTCCATAGCGCCAAAAGAAGCACACTGACCACCGTTTTTTGTTTGTTTGTTTTTTTTAATTAAGCTGTGTGTGTAGATTCTGAAAATATACTTAATACTTTAGATAGCAGGATCCTGCGGAAGCCCGTTGAGGCCAGTTCAGAGAAAGAAATATTTTTTATTGCGTTCAAACGCAATAATTATTGCGTTTAAACGCAATAATCCTTCCTTTTAAGGATTTGTTTTGTATTTAAACACAATGATACTGTAGTTTCAAAAACAGACATCAATAAGCCAAAGCTTTTGAAAATTGTAGTAAAACAGTGGCATCCTAACAACCAGAATGTCTTAAATGTATTAGAACTCAACACTCTTAATGAAGCCTATGATCAATTGCTTACGTATCACAATTAATTAAGAACGTTTCAGTGGAATAATAAAAACTTGTCAATTTGGTAGTACACATTGATCAATCTGTTTTCATTTGATTTTGATCTCATATGATTACATCACCTATGTTCTTGTGTTTACTGTATGCAACCATAGGAAAGGTTGTGAATATACATTTAAGTCTAAATACTTCATCATGTTGTACATAATTCCAACATTTCATTAGTCTTTTCCTGAACCTATTTATACATGGGTTAAAATTTGTGACCGCAACGTGAGGGATAGTTTTTTAACCATTTTCTCTTCTTAAGTCTTTTATTTAGAAGATACATTCTATAGTTTGCAAAAATGTTTCAAAGTAGAAAAAATAACAAAATAGAAATGTGATTTGTGATTGTAAGCAACTGACCAAATTTTCATTAAGAATATAGCGATCTAATAAGTTAAAGACATGTCTCATTCTTAGATTGCCTTTGTTTTTACAACCCGACATTTTTCTCTCCTCTATAAATTCTCATCAGTGATTTATCCTTTCAGAGAGCGTTTGCTCGGAGGAAGCTAGACAATACACAATTTCCTAATACATGTAAGTGAAAAAGAGAAAGGAATAAAATATATCAGTATGCGTAGGTCCGTTGTATTCTGCAAGGTTTGATACAAATGATTGCCTTTAAACACAAATATTATTGCGTTTAAACGCAAAGATTATTGCGTTTAATCACAAAATTATTGCGTTTAAACGCAATAAAAAATATTTCTTTCTCTGATCTGGCCTCAACGGGCTTCCGTAGGATCCAATCTCTTTAAAGAATAAAATAATAAGCCATGTACAACAAGATCAAATATCTGTCTGAACTTGAGTTGCCTGTACTCTTTTTATAGGGTTACAAAATAAAGATCTTTCATGTATCACAAACATTGATTTGAAAGTTTAAAACAAATACTATGTCCAATTTTAGCCCCTTTGCTTATTGGTGGTCTGTAACATTCATTGAAAGGTTAAATGCTGGGATAGATTAGTACTACCGGAGTCTCATGGCCGTAGGAATCGGGGGGAGGGGGGATGAACTTTTTTTCTTGCTTGTCAAGGAACTTTTGGTAGTTGATAGTGCCCTCAACTGAAAATGTATGGTTGCCCCCCCCCCCCCCCCAACTGAAATTGATTGCTTCCTAAGGGCCTGATTCTCTCTATCATGAAGAATAAAAAAATGACACTGTTCAACATTTTGTTTTTCTAATTTAATTTAAAATAGGGATGCCTATCTTTTGTACTAATTAGAGAAAGCACAAGTTACAGATAACACAGACTTTAAACTGTTTATGTCGAGTGAATACTGAAAAAATGACAAAGTTCAACAACTGAAAAACCATCATTTTTTTAAATAGAATTTCACTATATAGCATCACCTTGCATTGTATAACATCAATATGAAAAGTTTCAATGTAAACAACAGAAATTACAGATTACACACACTATGTACTATTCATATGAAGAAGCATGCAACAGATTTAAGTTCAGCAATAGGAAAAAAGAAAGACATATCATTTATGAATCCAAAGG